CTCCGGCACGCACCGGGGGCCCACAGAGCAGGCCTGGCGCAGGGCCCGAGCCCCGGGACCCCAAGGGGGGGCGAAAGACAGAAGGCGGCCGCGCTCGCCCTTCCTAAGAGGAGCTCCACGACGGCTCGCGGGAGCTCTGTGAGCGGCGGGGGGATATATACATGCCAGGGAGAGTGGGGCAAACCATCTGCGCGGGGCAAGGGGGGCAAAAATGAGCACCCCTCGTAGGCGCGCAGCGAGGGCAAGCCGTCCCTTCGCCTCTCTTTGGATCTGCCCGAGCCCGTCGGGATCCGGGGAGAGCGCGCTAAAAAAAAGGAGGGGGAGGGAGAGGAGGGGGAGGAGGAGGCTGGAAAGCGCCCAAAGTCCCTCACTGAAAAAGCCTCCGCCTCAGCCGCGGCGACTCTGGCTCTGCTCTCCCTGTGCCGTCGGGTATGGGCTTAGTGCATCTCTGGGTGCTGAAAAGGAACTCGCGATTTTCAGCACAATTCGGGGCAAAAAGCGACGATTGTGTCTACTGTTATCTGGTGCTCTCCGGTTATGCTGGGTTTCAACACCCGTCCTCCAGTAGCGGGCTTGGTTAAGGATAATGGGAGTTAAAATCCAACGAGTCCAAGAGGTTGGGGCGGGGGCGTCTGCCCACAGGCTGAGCGTCTGAAATCTAGGTTAGTGGTCCAATCTAGTGCGCGACCGGAGTGCTCCCATTAGCCAATTCAATTACATAGGAGATAATGACGCTGGAGGGCGCCGCTGGCGAGGTGATCCATCCCCAAGTTAGACGCTTGTGGTGCTACAGCCCGATCGAGAGTCCCGTCTAGTCCTGCTCTTCTGTTTCCCGCGACGTCCGATCAGACGCGCTCAGGGCGGGACGCCTCATTTCTTTCCTTTAGGCGGATTCGATTTCCTTCTCGCTGAGATCCCAAAGCTTTTCGGGATTCCAGAAACATGTGTTTGGATTGAGTTGGTGCCCCAGGTTGCAGAGCTATTCCGAGAGGTGCAGCCTTTAGCCACGTCTACTACCCGGCTGGATCTCAGGCTCGCATTGCGAATTGGAGCGGTGGGCTGATGGAAACCTACGCAGCTCCTCCTTGGAACAGAGTAAATCTGTTAAAATCAGCATGAGTTCCCTGAATTCCTTCCCATAGTGGGTGGGATCGGCTTTGGGAGAAATAATCTTAAATTTCACTGAATTAATGTAAAGTTAGAGACTTTAAAATCAAAGCCCGATTTCAAAACAAACAAACAAACAAACTGAACCTAATCTGTAGCTAAAATACATGCAGGCTAGTTTTTAAAATCAGATTTGCATCTATTATGGATATTGACAGGCTAGAAATAATCATCATCATCATCATCATCATCATCATCATCTGCCTTCACATGGTTGTGGGGCTTGCATGCCCCAAGGAGGATGAGAGCTATGTCAGAGGTTCACTGGATCAGTCATTGCCTGGGTCAACAAGGACCATGCACTGCGCTAGGTGTCCTGGTTCCTGGACATCTGGTGACAAGTGGGCTACAGGACTCAGGACTGTTGCTGAGCAACCAGGACCAGCAGCTGCAGGAGTACTGGAAGAGAAGTTGTTTACCCATCACAAATATACGAATACTGAAAACAAAGAAATAATAATAATAATAATAATAATAATAATAATAATAATATGTTTTAAAAGGAAAGCAGAAATTGAGTGCAAGGCAAGAAAACAATAAAATAATCATGATGGTGAGAATGCAACTGGTGAAAATGCAAGTAAATAAAAATACTTGAAATAAAGTTTAGCTATAAGTTCAATCACTTTTATTGCCATCTTCCAGATTTTGAAGAGTGCAGGTGCTGGTCCTTAAATATGTTAAATTCTATCAGAATAAGGTGGGCTTTTTGTGAAAGCCTTTAAAAACAAGAAAGTACATGCATGGAATAATGCCTGAAAGAAATCCCAAGGAAATCAGTGACATAATTAACTTTTCATAGCATACAACTCTGGTGACCTATAATTAATCTCCATTTACTTAAATGGGAACAAACACTTTTACTTCTAAATAAGACTCATTCATTTCAAAAGTGCTTTTAACAAAGATTACTTTGAGCCTGGCTTTGTTATGTACGATTCAACACAGCCAACATTTCTTAATACCTAATCTCAACTTTAAATTGTATTAAAGAATATGGGGTCCTCTGAACATGTGCAGAATTCTTTTCTTTCAGCAGCTAGTTAATGTAACACATTTGCAAGGTAAACTTGAGGCAATCCGGCTTATATTCTGAAATTAAATTTCATGGACTAAAAACTGAACCTCCAGTCCCTGCAAATCAGAAATGGCAGTTTCAGCACAATCTCGTTATGAATAAAATGCATATTTATTCATTTACTTCCATGTATTTGTAGTCTTGTTTTCCACAACTGAACACAACTGTGAAACTATCAGAACAAAACAACCAGCAGCAGTTAGGACAGCGAAATTCAAGAATCAAATATCCATGGTGCTGAAAAGGTTTTCAAAATCCCCCTTAGGAAGGTGGTAAAGTCTCCAGGGAGAGTTATTTAAGTTGGCGCCACCAAGAAAGCCCTCTCAAAGATATTTCTGAATAAGGTGGTCTGAATCGAAAAAGTTGCCGGAGATCTTGCAACATTTAATGTGGGTCCTGTTCCTGGCTGTTTTCACACGGACCTGAATACAAAACGATAGTTTTTAACGAAGATTTAGTTTCATGTAGCCCTTCACTGAAATGTAATGGAGTCTACTTTAAGGAATCAGTTGCAATGGATGATTCTCAAGCCCCACATGGGAGAACAGATCGAACAGAAAAAGACAAAAAGCCAAGTTTGATCCCCCACAGACTTACTCGCCTGGGCTGAAGTTCCATTTTATTCGCCCCCCCCCCCGGGAAAAATTGGTTCTCCCACCTACATGGAACGGATCGGATCGAAGCTAGGCTAGACCTAGGCTTACATTAGATTTTTTTGAAAAACAAGTTTCTGGGAAATCCCAGGAAACCGGTGGGATTTATTTTGGTGGAAACTAATACAACAATGGGAATAAGGGACGTCCTGTTGACCTCCACAGTTGGTCTCCCAAGCGTCAGCCCAGGATTATAAGGGATCGGTCTGCTAGCAGGCATTACCCTCCCACTTCTGTCTTGTGCACGTTTCCCTGGAAGTAAAAAGATCTGAATTCAGCGGATTTATCACAATCCTGCTGAAATCCAGCAGCACGTCTTTCTAATTTAGGAAGCAAAAGGTCAGATTCCTAGATGCTCAGCCCCGAGCTGTGGAATCAACGGGGCAGCCCTACTGAAAATGGATCCCGGCGCTCTTTCAATGTCTGAAGTGCTCCGTGCCCTCTCACCAAAGCCCTGGGCACCCAGTGGCCTCAGCCCTTGGCAGCTTGCCCCAGGGAAATCCGTGCAACTTCGTTCCTCATAAACGTGGATTGGAAGGATCGGACCATATTGCCGCACCTTTCCCTAGAGGTCAGCGAATGTGCTCCGAGGAAAGAAGGGCACTCGCAGTGGCTGGGTTCGCGGGGCACACTTAGGCAAGTTTAATTAAAGCCTGGCTAATCCCCGATTGACCCAATTTTCTGGGCTGAGGGGACAAGACTGCTAATTGGTTCGTAGACGAACGCGGCTTCATTAATTCATATTTATTGAATAAACTTGGAATCACACAGCAACGCCAAGCTGAAACTGTAGCAGCGAAGCCACAAGGGGTGTTTCACAGGAACGATCCCCCAGGATGGCTTAGCGCTGGGCAGACAGCCTTTTCTTGGAAGGGCTGAGGGTGCCCTTAGACTGATGAGCATGGCAGGTGGACTGCGGTGCGCATCTGTAGGTCTTTCGTTTCATCGGTTCATCTTCCTACCAGCCTGGCGTTGGCACCACTTTCTCGCCAGCCTTGGTTCCTGGCGCCGCTTCACGCGAGCTGGCAAGTTAGCTGGGGGGTTGGGGTGCTCTGGCGATCCCTGGGTACCGCTGGCAGACGCAGCTAGGCAGCTGCTCGGGAAAAGCCGCGGCCGGTGTCAGCTCAAGTTCACGCTCGACCCAGCTTCCTCCCCACGACCTCGCCCCCCCCCCCCCCCCCC